TGCCCAATGTGAGTCCCCTTATTCTCTTTCTCGGTATAGACCTATCAACTTATGTGCAGTAATCTATAAATTGATCTCCAAAAAATTAGCTGGTAGGCTTAGAAGTTGTTTAAATGAGTGTATCCATGAGGCTCAATCTGCTTTCTTCCCTGGGAGACAACTTACTGATAATGTGGTAATTACAAATGAAGGAATCCACTTCTTAAATAGGCATCATTCTGGTAAACACTCATATATGGCCATGAAACATGATATGATGAAGGCTTTTGACAGGATTGAGTGGAAATGCAATAGACTGGCCATGCTCAGAATGAGGTTTGCTTTACAATTTGTTAACTGGATATGGAATGTGTATCTACTGTCTCCTTCTGTTTTATTCTGAATGGCAGTCCTTGTGGCCATATCAGTGCTCAAAGGGGAATAAGGTAGGGGACCCCTTGTCCCCCTACCCCTTCATCATTGTTTCACAGGTGCTCTCTGCTATGATCAACTCAGCAGTGGATAGGGGAGTTTACAGAGGAATTTCTTTGGCCAAAGATGCACCAATGCTTACTCATCTGTTGTTTGCAGATGACTCAATTCTGTTCTGCAAGGTTGATGAGTATCAAGCCAGAAGCAACAAATCTCTTCTTGACAAATATCAGCTCTTCTCAGGCAAAAGGTTAACACAGCCAAGGCTTCCATCTTCTTTAGCAAGAACACAAGTCCTCAGGCCCAACAAGATGTCTGTCATTTTTTCCCTGGGATACAGATTGAGAAGTCATCCAGATATCTGGGAATGCCCTTTGGAATTGGCCACTTAAAAAGTGAGGTGTTTGGTTTTGTGGCTGAGGCAGTGAAAAGCAGGATTCTCAGTTGGAAAAAAAAAAATATCTATCAATAGATGGTAAAGAAGTTCTAGTCAAATCCATCCTCAATGCTCTACCACTCTTTGTTATGTCTTGCATTTTTGCCAAGGTTTGGTGGAGTAGAAACTGTGAGCAAACTTCTGGGATCCACTGGAAAAGATGGGAGCTCCTGACAATTTCAAAGAAGCAGGGTGGTCTTGGATTTAAAGATATCTCTCTTGTCAATTATGCCATGCTGGTAAAACAGATATGGAGACTAATCACCCAGCCACATCTTCTAATGAGTAGGATTTTAAAAAGTAGGTACTTCCCTAACTCTTCTATATTTGAGGCTCAGTTAAAACAGAACTCTTCATGGTTATGGAGATGATGGCTCAAAGTCAGATGGCTACTGAAAGAAGGCATATCTGTTAAGATCAAGAATTGAGCCATAGTCCAACTGCATGACCTGAACTGGGTACTAGGAATCAGGGGAAGACCCTCAGGTTCACTGAAGAAGATGATTATAGTAAACTATGGGTTCAAGACCTTTTAAATGATGACAACACCTGAAATGCTCAGAGGGTGAAGGAAGTTATTGCAGGAGAGGATTGCATAGAGGTCCTTAAAATCAAGTCTCTTGACTCTCACTCAGCTGACAGATGGAGATGAACTATGGGCTCTCAAGGAAGGTTCTCAGTATCATCCTCCTATGCTTTTCTGCACAACAAGAAGCTTCTCTCCTTTGATATAGCTAAAGGAAGCAGCACAACAAAAAGGAATCAGCAAGTCAGACATAGAAGCTGGAGCATCCAAACTAAAGGTAATCTCAAGAACCTCTTATGGAAATATTATTCTAACTCCTTGCTTGTGAACCTAGATCTGAAAGGAAGGGATATAAAGATTGATGCCATTTGCTTTTGTTGTGGAGAAGTTGTGGAGACAATTGAACATGTCCTCTGAACTTTCTCTAGATCCAGGAGGGTCTAGAAATGTGCCATAGACCAATGGGATGGCATAGCAGTAGATAACTGCAAGTTCAAAGACTGATGGGGAACTATCTGCTCCATTGACAAGTCCAAAGTTGCTGAAGCTAGAATTGAACTTACTACATACATTCTTTGGTGGCTTTGGAAGTCACGGAACCTTTGGATTTTTGAGAAAAACTGGAGGCCAGAAGGCATTATTGTCAAAGGGGCTCTAAGTGAATGGCAGGAAACCTTGATGAGAAGCTCATGAAGTCTTTTCAAAAACTTGCATTTTCTAGCTAGGTCTACTTTGTAGTTCAGTGGTTAGATTACATTGTTTGTTGTTTGTTCTATGTTGGTTGTTGTTCACTGGAGGGATCAGTTATATACTGCCGCTGGTGTTGTTTTCTTTGTCTGTTTAGCCTACTTGTATAAGTAGTGTTCCCTGGCTTTGCAACCAGCTTTAGTTATTGTATCTTGTAATGGACCTCTTGATGTAGGGAAAGCGTACGAATGGAAAGGATAAAGAGATACTCTCTCTTGATAATACGCAAAAACAGATTTCTTATTTCATATCCAGCTGTTAGATAACAAAGCATAAGACCACTTTAAATAAAGCCCTTTAATTAAATCCTAGCTTATTCTCCAAGCTACTAATTATAAAATAATATTAATTACTATAATAATAATAATAACAACAATAATAATAATAATAATAATAATAATAATAATAATAATAATAATAATAATAATAAATAATAAATAATAATTAGTCTGCACCATTCTCTCCCGGTTGAGCAGGATTTGCCCTCGAATCCGACCCGTTCCCGTTGGAGTCATGCCCACCCCCACGATAAGAATACCATCGACGTTTTCCTTGATCGGACACAAAGGTTGAAGGTCACATTGTTCGCCGCGCTCAAATCCGCCAAGCATCTCGTTGTTGGGAGACTTCGCGAGAGACAATCGAAAAATAGCCCACCAGTTACTGAGCATCGACTTGGGCTCCGATAAACCATCTTTGGCCAAAATACGCAAAAAATCGAGTGTGAATAACCACTTCCCATTCGAAGACACAGAAGGCTCTTCATAAAAAATGGGCGAATCGTCGTAAATTGGCCCGTCAACGTGATTCTCGTCGTAGTAAACAATGTCAGCGCAAAACGGACCCATCCGTTGACCAAATTTGCTGCCATAATCCCTCTGCAGAAGCCCAATATCCGCAACTACTGAAGAAGCCCAAAAATTGCGAGTGGGCTGCACCTGTTGAGGCCCAAAATCACAACCTAACCCATCCCCTACTCTTTGTACGTGTACCGCGCCTCTGTAAAATTCAGAAAATTGGAAAACCATGTGCCCAGCCTCATTCTTGCGGCCTCGCCGCGCATCGCAGCCGCCGTCTCCGGCAAAACCCGCAGCAGCGCACCGCCGGTCGCGAATACCACAGTCATCAACAAACAACGCCGTCAAGGGTTGGCACCGTCGAGCCTCACGACCGCCGCTGTTGCAAAAACTGGTACTTTTCGGCCTCCAATCGCGCATCGGTCGTGGAAAAACATTCATCGGCCAAGCGCGACTCGCAGCCAAGGAGGTATCCGCCATCGACAGTGGTGCGACGCTCCTCCTGCGGCCACCGTCGCGCGCCCACCTCGCCTTCTGCAGCCCGACGGAAATCACCGTCAAGGGCGCTGCTCAATCCTCTGCCAACAGCAGTTCGCCGGAAGTTGTCGTCTAGGGCTGAAGTAGTTCTCCAGAAATCGCCACCTCGGGCTGCGTGATTGAGCAGAAATTGGTAGTCCAAACACTTCTCAGGCTGCTGTTGATTGCGAAATCGTACAGCCCCTAGGGTTTTCCCGTCGTCGCGCTCGCCACCATGTCCGAAACAACCTCCAGCCCGTTGTTGCTCGCGAACTAGGGACTGACCGAGGGTGTCGGCTCCTTGCCATGGTGGTTGATTTGTAAACGGGTTAGCCGACCCGGTAGAGTCGCCAACGCCGTTGCCGTTCAGAGGTGACTGGGATCGCTGCCGGGGTGCCCCGACATGGTTGCTTCCCCCACGACCGCCTCTGTATCCCCCGCGATAGTCACGACCTCCATCATGGTCCGTCTGCAATTCCGTAACAACCACGTTGTTCGGCGTCAAACACACATCCTCGATCCCTGTCGAAAGATCTGCAAACCAATCCGTGAAACGCACGTCCAACTCTTGAAATCGATAATCAATCTGTTGAAACCAATTGTTGAAGGTTGCATTACGTTGTTCGTTTACGACATCTTCTCGTCCCGGCGACATCGCGAATCGTACTGACTGCTGATACCAACTGATGTAGGGAAAGCGTACGAATGGGAAGGATAAAGAGATACTCTCTCTTGGAAATACGCAAAAACAAATTTCTTATTTCATATTCAATACTAGATAAAAAAGCATAAGACCACTTTAAATAAAGCCCCTAAATGAAACCCTAGCTTATTCTCCAAGCTACTAATTATTAAATAATATTAATTGCTATAATAATAATAATAATAATAATAATAATAATAATAAGTCTGCACCACCTCTTTTCCTTTTGTTCACGAGCATTCCTATCGCTTTTGGTAAAAAAAAAAAAAAGTTATGTTGTATAGAAGCACTAGGGATTTACTATAATACTGCAATACCCGGGGGGTTCTGGGTTGGTAAATAACAAAGTCTTGAAAAATACTTGTGAGGAGAGAAAATTGATATAGAGAGCTGAATATATATGTGAATTTAGATCTCAGATACAAAACTCAAAACTGGTCAAGGGTCTTGCAGTTCTTAAAGAACATGATATCTTTAATTTTCAGCAAACTGAGTGCAGTTCACATCATGTAAGAAAATGGCTGCGTGCTTTTAAAAGAAGGATAGCACGCAGATGCAAGCCAGAACCAGAACTTCTCCCTCATACATTGTAAAAATATTCAAGATTTGTCCAGCAAAACGGGGCTAACAAAAAAAGGCTCTTTTAATACTTTCCGATTCACGATCCCTGAGTTCGTTGCATCTATGATTTTGCCTTTACGCCTGTGGCCATGAGTTAAATCCTAGTTGATTAATAGTGTCTGCTCAAGGCTCGTCCGAAGCGCCATTTGCATATTCATGACCTGCACTTGCACAACTTCCGTTGTATAAATGATTTGTTGTTGTGGGATTCGAATAAGGAGAATGATTTGAAAGAGGGCCCACACGTGAGTACCGATTCTGGGCAGCTGTCGTACTTCTTGTCGACTTGAGACGGGCCTTTCTCCCCTGTAAAAGAGACATCCCAAAAAACATGGAAGTTTCTATTAAATTCTAGCATATATTAGCAACAGGAACAAACATGGATTAAGCATAAACCAAATTGCGCGTGGTGCGACATAAGAACAAACAAGTTACCATTTATTTGCAGGAATTCGATCCTGTAATTTTTCCTTAAAAATGATTGTTGACTAGCAAGGTTTGCACTTTACTTTTACATTGGAAGGGTACACGGCCACACTCAAGCTTTTAGGAACCTCGCATGACCTTTCTAAAATCTTAAAACTTGTAAGCTTTCAAACGATAACCAATTTTTGCTCCTTTTCATGTTCTAAAAGAAGATAAGCCCATGAGATCATTCAAGAAGAAGGCAAGAGGAAGAGAAAAGGGGGAAAAGGTGAAAAAAATAAATGAAAAAAAGCACTACTTATGAGCGTACAAGCTGTTTTCAAGGAGATAATGCCCCCTTTAGGGGGAAAACGCGCCTTATTTTTAACAATTTCCTCTACTCTTGGCCATTTTAATATCAAATACTCCTCATGTCTGACCAAATTCCAGAAACAAAACTTTTAAAATTAAAACCTTGAGATCGAGTTAGCCGTACAACATTACCCCACCAAAAAATAAAAAAATGAAAAGTAAAATAAAAAAAAAAAAGAAAAAGAAAATAAAGATAGTAAAGGAAAATATTTTTTCATCTCCGGCAGTCAATAAATATTAAAATTTAAACCTGAATTTTGACACTGAATCAAACCTCAAGGATGTTAGTTGTGTTTTCTTTGTAGTTTGATCAAACTTTGAGGGCACTATCGTTACAAAATCTTTACATTTCTAACAAACGAACAAAGGAACATAGCACATCACGATCTCTAAATGAACATCCTATAACAAACAAAAGCCTCACGAAACTTTTCTAACAAAACCCTCTAAGTATAGTCGAAATTAAAGGGTGCATAGAAAATAATCATCACCTTGCCCATGCATTTCTCCAAGTGGGGAGCAAACCTTCCGGCCATGATCGACCGCCCACAATTCATGCACTCAAATATCTCGTTTGCAATAGGAGGGTGCGTTTGGCCGAATATGTCGACAACGTATTTGCCGTTGGCTTCACCACTATGGCTCGGATCGGATGCCCTGGCCCGTGCCTCGAGGGACAACCTTAATTCCTCTTCCTCTTGATCTAAATTGCGATCAAGCCCTAGCTTTGCAATACGGTGCGACTCTGATGCAACATCAATGATAACAGAGTCGAGAAGCTCGTTAAAAACGTCCAGCAAAAGCTGCAAATGAAACCAAAAAACGAAAAATGAAAAATAAAGAATGATAAATTTAATTAAGCTTTAGCAACACAAAACAGTTAACAGTAAAATATTAATAAAAGGTATGTAAATATATTTAATGTCTTTATCTATACAAATCAGACTACATTGTCCATCTAGTTAATGGCAATGCTGATTCAGTGTTTTATCACATGATTGTAGTACAGGGAGCACAATAAGAAGCTGGGAGAGTGTTAAAATGAGCTGGGAATTCAAAAACTTATTTTCTTATTGAGCATTTGTCCAAGTTCTTCATTATCTGAACAAAAATAGGGTCAGAACAATATTTTTTTATTTTCTATTTTTTTGTATTGATATAGATGGAACCAAGGAAGGTTTAACATGAACAAACGGAAAAATTGAAGGATGCACATAATGTTTCTTCAACTGCAAAACCAAAAGACACAAAAAACAAATTTAAACAACAAACAGACAAAAACAATGATACAACGCAAATATCAAAACCAGTAAAACCAAAAGAAAAGAAGACGAGGACTGATTACCTCCGAATTAGAAGCCACATCATTCTCATTTGTCATCGACATGAGGAATCGAACTCACCAATACAACACACTCCTACAAACTAGAAAGAACATGTTTTATGAGCTTGTAACAAAACCGAACCCTCACTAAAAACTGAGTAAATAAAAAGTGAATCAATGTCTCAACCTTGTTATTTACACATGAACCAATTTGTCCGGTAATTTACATATGAATCAACTTGTGTCAGCATTTGAAAGATGAACATCCTAAATCTAACCTCCTTTTTGTCCAGTCACACATAAGTAAATTCAGCATCATTTGAATAGGATTCAGTCTCCGTTTCCTCACATTACAACAGCCTTTCACATACAGTAATCAAATGCTTAACTTAAAGAACAAAGAGGAAAATACTGAACCAGCTAGTCCACAATTACAACACATACAATCTATATCAAACCCAAAAGAATGAAAACAAAAAATAAAATAAAATAAAATAAAAAAATCTGTGAAAACACAATAGCAAATAAAATTACAATCTTTATACTAAAAAGTTAACCAACAACCCATAAATTTGGTAGTCAGAAACCCATCTGATGTTTTCATCAAATTGAATAACCCATTACCACACAAAATAAATATATATATATATATATACATATATATATATATATAAGATCGCAAAAGCAAAAGCTAAATTACAGAGAAACCTGAGCGGAAGCAGCACTGGGTTAGTGTGGCGTCGATCAGTGAAGCACCGAGTATTGAAGTCCGATCCCTACAATGTATATCTGATGAAGTTAATAGCGACTTTTGTGCAAAATTATAGAAGTGCAACTTTACCTGTGTCAGAATTCAAATATTTAAAATATTTAAAACATAAACTAGTGTGGTACTCGTGCGATGTACGGTGGGCGCATAACTTAAAAGGGTCAAAATCTTTTTCACCCCATTATAAATCTATTCTTTCTTTTACACACCGCCCCATCAAATAACTTCTTTTACACCCCAAAACTCACGAAATGCTATGCGATATTGCACTCGCATGTCCAAATGAACCAGCGCATATCCAATCGACCGCATAATTTATGACAATGCGTAAACATTTCGCATTTTTTTAATCGCATATCCACATCAAACGCATAATTTAGAAATGTGCGAACATCTTTCGCATTTTTAATAATCGCATATACAAATCGATTGCAGCATAATTTACGATGATTATGCGCCTTCTTATCGCAGGGCTATATCAACCTTGCAAATTTATGACTGCGAAAATATTTCGCATCTAATTCGCATAGTTTGTTAAATACGCATTTTCTGGTAATTGCATATCCAAGTCAATTGCATAATTTACTAATATGCGAAACAATTTCGCATATATCCTCCGGATAATTGACAATTATGTGACATTTTTTCGCTCGCATATTTAGGAATCGCATAACCAAATCGAATAAAGCATATTTTTTTACGATTATGCGCCATTTTTTCGCAGGGCCATATCGACCTGGCAATTTCACGACTATTCGGAATTCGTTCGCAGATCTTTCGTATAAGTTGCGCACCTCATTAATTAACTGCTTTTTCACAGGTGAGGATTTGGTCTCTGCATTTATCATGCAGGCAAAAAAACAGCGATCTCTAACAATTTAACGCCTGCACCATTCATCTACTGCATTTTTCTTTTTTTTTTTTAGTTCTTTTTGTTGTTCACTTATTTGAATGACTAGCAACCGTGTTAGAGTATTGGTGCACTTTGGTGGTTCGTTTTGCGAGGGTTCATATCTTCGTGGAGTGGCAGAGCTGATGAGAATAAATTGCGGCCGACAAATGTATTCTGAAGTAGTTTCTCGTGTTCAAGCCTTATTGAAGGCCAATCCTTGTAATTTTGAGTACATATTGTGGGCAGTATTTGATGGAAGGGAACGAG